CCCGCCCGCTTCCTGCCCGGGACCGCCGCCCGCCTCCTGCCCGCCCCTGCCCGGACCCCCGGCCGTGCCCGCCCCGTTAAACGGCCCCGTTCCGCTCCCCGGGCCACCGGACCCCTCGAACGGGGGACACCGGGTCCCGCCCGCTCACCGGCGGGCCTTGACCTGTGTCCCCACCGCGTCCCCGCTGCCCCATCACCATGTCCCGCTGTCCCCTCCCTGTATCCCCGCAGTGTCCCCACGTCGGGGAGTGGCCCGGGGGTCCGGGGGGCTCCTCCCGCCGCAGCGGCGGCAGCGCCGGCCGAGCCCGGGGGCCCGGGAGGTCCCGGAGCCGCCGGTGCGGGCGGAGCGGGGCCGAGCCCGGCGGCGAGGGGCGGCCCCGGCCCCGACCCCTCGGGGGTGCCCCGGGTGGGAGTCGGGGTGCGGGGTCTGGTCCTGCCTGTCCCCCACCACGCGCATTTTTTCCGCCCCGACAGAACTTTCCTGGCTTGACTTTCCCTTCTTTTGTTGGGATTTCCCGCGGGCGCGGGGCGGGCAGGGCGGCGCGGCTGCCGCCGGTGCCATCCCTGTCCCTTGTCCCTGGGGTGTCCCAGAGCCCTGCCGGGCTGAGGAGGGAGCGGGACAGACCCCTCGGACTCCTTGGATCCGCATCACCCGGGAATGCTCCTTCACCACCCCAGGGGAGCGGGGCCAGCGGGGCTGGCACCGGGCACGGAGCATTCCCTGCCCCACTCCAGGGCTGGATGCTGGGGCGGGCTTTGTCCCGGGCTGCAGAGGCAGCTCCTGCCTTGTGGCGGCTCCGGCCGTGCCCCAGCCCCGCGTGACGGCTCTTTCGAGGTTTGCAGAATTCCCGGCCGCGCTCCTGGCGCCGTTCCCGGCCCCGAGGCCAGGCGGCCCCGATTCGCGCTGGCTCAGCACTCGCCGGGATGTCAGGAATTTCCTGGTGCAGCGCCCGCGGCTGCCAGATCCCGCTTGGGGATGCCTTAAAGGCGCCGTGGCTTTTCCCGGCAGGAATCGTGCCGGGAAGCTGCTCTGGGTCCCGCAGCCCACAGCCGAGCGGGGTCAGAGCCACCGGGCACTGCCGGGACACTCCTGCCCAGGGCCGTGTCGCTGTCCCCGTGTCCCGGAGTCCTTCCTGCGGGGATGTTCCCAACGAGTCTCCCTCAGCCCGTGCTCCATGTCTGGGATCTGGCCCGGCCTGGCTGAGCCTCCTCACGTTCTCACGGTGCCATTCTCCAGGTGTCCACGGGTGTCCCCAGTGTCACCCGTGCCATCTGTGGGGGACACCCCCCCCTGCACACCCCCGGTGTTGTGTGCGGCCGTGGCTGCAGCTCCAGAAGGTTCCAGAAGGTTCCAGAGGGCCCCGCGGTTGCTGGGGTGCCAGGATGTCCCGTTGTGACACCTGAGCTGTGCCGTGCCCCGATCCCGGTGTGATCCCAAAGGGTTCAGGTCCATCCCAGCAGCAGCAGCTCCCGGATCCCTCTGGAGAAACCAAACCCCAATTCCCAGCGATCCCAGGGGCTGCGGAGGCTCCGGTCCTGGGAGGGACAGGGGATGTTGGCCGTGGAGCAGGAAGAGTGGGAATTCTGCAGTCCCCAGGGGCTGTGCCAAGGGGGACACAGCGGAGGTCCACAGGGATCCCGAGGGCACGCAGGGAGATGCCAAGGGATGAGGCAGGGCACAGCCCATGGATACAGAGATCTGTCCCAATGGCTGGACTTCATCACCCAAGAGATGTCCCACATGGAAGAGTTCATCGACCGAGAGCTGTGCCAGGAGAACGCCTGGGGACACCAGGAACTGTGCCAAGGGCAAGGCAAGGGATGCGAGGACCTGTCCCCATGGGAAGAGTTCACCAACCAGGAGTGGTGCCAAGGAGAAGCCAATGGATCCCAAGAGCGGTGCCAAGGGGATCATGGATACAAGAGTGTGTCCCAATGGGAAGATCTAATCAACAAAGAAATGTCCCAAATGGAAGAACTCTTCAACCAAGAGATGTCCCATATGGAAAACTTCATTGACCAAGAGCTGTGCCAAGGAAAAGCCAAGAGACACCAAGAATGGTGCCAAGGGAACGCCAACGGATACAAAACAATGTTCCAATGGGAAGACTTAATCCACCAGATATCCCAAATGGAAGGATCTGTCAACCACGAGATGTCCCAAATGGAAGGATCCATCAACCACGAGATGTCCCAAATGGAAGGATCCATCAACCACGAGATGTCCCAAATGGAAGGATCCATCAACCACGAGATGTCCCAAATGGAAGGATCCATCAACCATGAGACATCCGAAATGGAAGGATCCATCAACCAGGAGATGCTCCAAATGGAAGGATCCATCAACCACGAGATGTCCCAAATGGAAGGATCCATCAACCACGAGATGCTCCAAAAGGAAGAATCCATCAACCAAGACCCGTGCCAAGGAAAAGCCAAGAAAGACCAAGAATGGCACCAAGGGAAAGTCAACAGATACAAAACTCTGTCCCAATGGGAGGACTTAATCCACCAGGAGATGTCCCAAACGGAAGAATCCATTAACCACAAGATGCCCCAAATGGATGAATCCATCAACCACGAGATGTGCCAAATGGAAGAATTCACTGACCAAGACCCGCGCCAAGGGGACACCAAGAGACACCCAGAGCAGTGTCATGGGAATGTCAAGGACAAAACTCTGTCCCAATGGGAAGACTTCATCAACCAAGAGATGTCCCAGTGGGAAAGACTTTCTTGACCAGGAGCTGTGCCAGGGCCAGCCAACAGAGCAGGGGGCACATCCCTGCCCAGCCCATCAGTGCCAGGGTCAGTGCCCTCCCGCCCTGCCCATCCTGACCTCCAGGGCCTTTCCCACACCCACGGCCACCCTCTGGACCCTGGCACTGATCCCACCTTAGAGAAGTCCAGCATTCCCAGGGCGCTAATCCGAGTTTCCCTATCTGACTCACCTGGCTGAAGTCCATGAGGAGAAATGGTTCCCATGTGCTCCTCAAAAAGGCAGGGGGTGCCCCAAGCCCCGGCCACAAAGGAATTAAAGGAATTCCTGAATTCCTGCGGCTCTGTCGGCTGCTAATGAGCCCCAGGAGGGGTTGAGTGCTCCAGGGATGTTCCCAAGTTTGGAATGTCACCATGGAACTGAGGGGGCTGGGGGCAGGTTGGGTGCAGGGCAGGGACTCATGGAATCATGGAACTGTTTGGGAAAAACCCTCAAAGACCATTGAGTCCAGCCCTGCCCAGGCCAGCACTGACCGTGTCCCCAAGTGCCACGTGCACAGGGCTGGTAAATCCCCCAGGGATGGGGACTCCACCCCTGCCAGGGCTGGACAGCCCTTTCCAAGAAGGAATTTTCCCAATATCCAACCTGAGGCTGGTCCCTCTCCTCCAGTCCCTGTTCCCTGGGAGCAGATCCCAACTCCTGGCTCCAAGAATCCAGGGAGTTCTGTAGAGCCACATGCTCCCCCTGATCCCCCTTCTCTCCAGGCTGAGCCCCTTTCCCAGCTCCCTCAGCTGCTCCTGGAGCTCCAGACCCTTCCCTTGACTCTCTCCATCGATTCCCTGGATCTCCAGTGTCATCCAGAGTCACCAAACCCCAAGGAATGACCCCAAACTCAAGCCCTGGGTAACTATACAGTAAGAACATTTATTTCCTGGAGACACTTGGAACAGTCTCTCCCACGTCGGACGATTGGAGACACAAATCCAACCCTCTCCTGCTTTGGGTTTAGTCTGTTCCCAGCTCCGATTTTTTACATCATGGAAGGTCCTTCCCGACCCCAAATGACAAAGGAAATCCAAACACACAGAACTGACTGGCCCCGAAGTGTCGTTCCTGGGGAGCTCCATCACCTGGAGCTCGGCTCCTCCCCGCCGCTGTCCTGCTGCTTGGCCATGAATTTCTGTGGAGAAGGGAGAAGAGATGGTGCTGCAGGGATATTCCAGGATTATCCCCTAAAACCTGGCCCAGGAACACCTGGGCCGGGTTCAGTCAGCTCCTCCCACGGCTGAAGTGGGATTTGTCCCATAAAAGCCCCCAAATTTGATACAGAAATCTCCTGAGTGGAAGGTGGCCAAATCTCAGGGATCAGGATTCCCCACAATCTGGGCATGGAATAAAAATATTCCATATTCCTGCTGTATTCCCAAACCCCATCAAACGTGAACTCCCAGGGAATCCTCAGCACCCCTGAATCCAAGGATTTGGGGGGATATTCCCGTTTTTCTGGGTGGTACCTCCATGTTCTGCCGGTGCAGGGGGGTCCTGCAGTGGTTGATCATGGAGGGTTCGTCGGCGTAGAAGAGGGAGCAGATCTGGCAGAAGAATCCGGCCTTTGGCACCAGGATGTCCAGAGCTGAGGATACACCACAGTCACCACACAGTTCCCAGAAATATTCCAACCTCACCTTCCTTTAGCCTAATCTGGGGAATTTGGGATCCCTCAGGGGGAAATTACTGTTCTTTAACATTCCAAAAAATCTGGTTTTTCACCCAAGCTGGTTCCTGACCCATTTCCATCCCCAGGTCATCTCCATTTCCAATAAACATACAATTTTCTGGGAATAAAGCAACCAATCCCATGGAAGTTGGAGCAGCTCCTGAAGGACTGAGCCCATGGAAGAAGGAAGCCATGCTGGAGCAGTTCCTGAAGGAACGACCCCATGGAAAAGTGACCCACCTTCCTGACGGATTAATCCCAGGGAAGAGTGACCCACATTGGAGCAGTTCCTGAAAGACTGACCCCATGGAAGTTGGAGCATTTACTGAAGAACTGATCCCAGGGAAAAGTTATCTATGTTGGAGCAGCCTGTTCCTGAAGGACTGACCCCATGGAAGTTGGAACAATTCCTGAAGGACTGACTCCATGGAAAAGTGACCCATGTTGGAGCAGCCTCTTCCTGAAGGATTGACTGATCCCATGGAAGAGTGACCTACACTGGAGCAGTTCCTAAGGAGTGACCCCATGGAAGTGGGAGCAGTTCCTGAAGAACTGACCCCATGGAAGTTCAGGAACTTCCTGAAGAACTGACCCCACAGAAGTTGGAGCAGTTCCTGAAGGACTGATCCCATGGAAAAAGGGACCCACACTAGAGCAGTTCCTCAAGAAAAGACTCCATGGAAGTGACTCATGTTGGAGCAGCTCCTGAAGGACTGACCCCAGGGAAGTTGGAACAATTTCTGACCTCATGGAATTCACTACATCCCTACACCCCCATTTCACAGTCCTGGCAGCAATTCCCTCCCTTCCAGACACTGAATGCTGGGAATAAAACTCACCACAGGATGGGAACCCTCAGGAGACACCACTCACTACACCCCACTAGTAATCAATAATTCCACCTGGGTTTGGAAATTTCCACAAAAAAACTTTCCACGAGAGGCTTCTGAGTTTAACCAACTAGTTAAACATGGATTTGGAGGAGCCAAGAAAAACCATGGATTCTGGGCCCTGACTTTGAGGTTCATTGTGGTTGTGATGCATGGGAGGAGTTTTCAAATGGGCAGGACAGAATCCTCCAGCCAGGAAAACGCAGAGCATTTCAGGGGATTCTTTTGGATTTACCTTTGGGAGTGCTCTGCGTCTTGGGGACACCTTGCAAAGTCGTTTTCTTCTGCTGAGACTTTGGTTCTGCATCTTCTGATCCCAGCTGAGCTGCTGGAGACAGAAATGCAGGTTGGGATGGAATCATGGCATCATGGAACAGAATCACGGAGCGATGGAATGGAATCATGGAACACAACCACGGAATGATAGAATGGAACCATGGAATGGTTTGGGTTGGGAGGCACCTAAAGGACATGGACACCTTCCACCAGCCCAGATGGCTCCAAGCCTTGTCCAAGCCAGCCTTGATGTTCCTCACCTTTTGGCTTGGAGATTTCAGCCATTTCATCCTCTGGATTTGTATCTCCTAAAATTCCCATTTCTTCTGGTCCTGCAACAGCAACAATATCTTCGTCATCTTCATCCTCGGGCGGGTTCTTCCCTGGGAAAGTGTTTTCTTCTTCCTCATCGCCGACTTCGTCGACTGTAACAAAGTTTAGTTCCTCTTTGAGGTGATTGAAGTCGGCCAGGAAGTCATCCTCATCCTCATTAACCTCATCCAGAGTCACCAGAGGATTGTCCTCGTTGTCCTCCTGGATCTCATCCACAGTCACCAAGGCGTTGGGATCGTCGGGCACCTGGGATGCCGCGCAATCCCTGGGATTGGTTTTTCCCTCCTCGGCGGCGCGCAGCTCCGTGGGCTCGTTGAGGGGCAGCTCCTCCACCTCCCCGATCTCATCCACGGTCACCAAGGGCTCGGCCTTCAGATCCCGCTCCTCGAATTCCACCCGGGGCCCATTCCCATGGGAGCCTGGCTCCTCCTGCTCCGAGATCTCATCCAGCGTCAGCAGCGCCTGCGGATCCTTCACCGCTTCCGACAGCTCCTCCTCTTCCACCACCTCATCCACCACCACCAGGCCCTGGGGGTCGACGCCCGGCAGCGGCACCGGGGCGTCCTCCTCCTCCCCGATCTCATCCAAGGTGACAAAGGACAGCTCACCTTCGGCTCCGCAACTCTTCCCTTTCCTCTTCTTGGACGCCGGCTCCGTAGGGTTGGCTTTGGGGGCTTCTTTTCTCTTCCCCCTCGGGGGGTTCCGCCGCGGCACCACCGGAGACTCGGCTTCCTCCAGCACCTCGTCCACCGTGACGAACTCGTCCAGGTTAAACGGGAAGAGCTCTTCCTCCTGGGAATGGAATATTTAACTGTCATCTCCAGCGGGAACATCCGCACACGTTGGATCAAAAAAATAACCCCAAATTTAATTTTGGGAGTGGGAAAAGAAAAAAAAAGCGGTCAGGGCTTAAATCACAGCATTGTGCTGAGTAATTAATTTAAATTAACTCAGGTTTAGTTCAGGAAGCCAAAGTCCTTTGGAAAAATTGATCAATAGGGGGATAAAATTCCATGGATAAATTCAGCGGATGAAACTCAGTGGATAAAATTCAATGGATGAAATTCAGTGGATAAGGGTCAATGGATGAAATTCAATGGATGAAATTCAGCAGATAAAAATCAATGGATAAAATCCAGTGGGATAAAGGTCAATGGGCAAAATCCAGTGGATAAAATTCAATGGATAAAGTGCAGTGGATAAAGGCCAATGGATAAAATTCAGCAAATAACATTAAAGAGACAAAATTTAGTGGATAAAATTCAGTGGATGAAATTCAATGGATAAAATTCAACAGATGAAACTCAGTGGATAAAATTCAATGGATGAAATTCAGTGGATGAAATTCAGTGGATTAAATTCAGTGGATGAAATTCAACTGATAAAATTCCTGCCAATTCAAAGTTCTGGGTCCAAAGGAACGGGTGCCCCACCCCAAATGATGCCTCTGATTTCATCTATTAAGAATTCCAAATTTTTGTTACTTTTTCTGCCAAAATATTCCACCCTACCATCCCATTTTCATGGATCTTTAACACAAGCTGGGACACTGGGATTTGGGGGTAGATTTGTGGGATCTGATCCCATCTGAGGCTTCCTGGCAGTCCTGGCTCCATGAGCCTGGAAATAGGGACCAAGAGATCCAAAGGGAATGGATCCAAAGGGATTCCAGCATTCCTGTCTGTGGATCCATCCCAGAGCCTATGGGATCCACAGACACCAGATGGAAAAAGGGCAGGAATCTAGTGATCCCATTTTGGGAAGAACAGAAAGATACCTGAGGGCAGGAATGTCATGGAATCCTGGAATGGTTTGGGTTGGAAAAGACCTTAAATCCCATCCAATCCCACCCCCTGGAACATCAAAAATCCCCTTTTCCATACATTCCATCCTTTTCATCCCAGTTTTCCATCCTCACCTCCTTCTGTTTTCCAGCGCTGCCAGCGCCGCTTTTCCAAGCTGCAGCACCGCCCCCACCAGGAGCCTGCAAAATGGGGCAGAAAATTCCATGAAATCCCAGGAAATCCCAATCCTCACCGAGCACAGCTTTGTTTGGATCAAGGAGCTTCTCTGGGATGTCCCCATGGCTCCACCAACAGGTGACACCTGGCTCAGGAGCCTCTTTTCCATCTGTGCAGGGCCTGGAAAAGCAAATTCCAGCTCCCCAGAGGACATTGGATTTATTCCCACTTGGAGCTGCTCCAAGGAATTCAGTTTGGATTTGCTTCCAAAACAACTTCCATGGGATTTTCCAACCAGTTCCACCCTCATGATGCAGCTAAAAGGAACAGGTTGCCCAGAAGCTCCTCTGGTGGCCCCGGGATTGATGGAAAAGGGAAAGGGATGATCCCAGAAACCCAGAGTGGAAGAAGCCCAGGAACACCTGGGCATTCCTACCCTCCTCACCTGATTCCCACTGGGATCTTCCCTCGTGCCAGCTGTTCCGCTCTCTCCCTGCTGGCTCTGCTTGGAACTCGCCCGAGATTCCAGCTGGGAATCCTTTTCCTGCTGGGATGAGCCCTTCCCGCCATCTCCCTGTGCTTCCACTCCAGCATTTCCATTCCCTTTCCACTGGCTGTTCCCAGCTCCCGCCTGAGCCGTGGTTTTGGGTGGGATTTTCTTCTCCAGCCCCGCTTTGGGGGGGATTTTCTGCTCCCCAGCTCTTCCCAGGGAAGGCTCGGTGATCCTGACGGGAATTCTCTGCTTCAGGATGTCCGGGACAGACACCACTGCCTTCAAAAAGGTTTTCCCAATGCAAGATTCCTTCAGGGATGCAGTGGGATTTACCGGAGCTGCCGTGCGGCTTTCGTCGGATTTTGCAGCTCCCATCCCTTTATTTTGTGGGATTTTAACTGAACTTCCCCTGGGCATCTCACCAACAGCATTCCCAGAGTTCTCCCCACCCTTGGATGATATTTTTCCAGGTTTTTTCTCTGGCTCTGTCCCAGCCTTGCCCACAATCTTCCCCAGATTTTCCCCGATTTTGAGCACGGATTCCTCCGCTGTCGCCTCTCTCTCCGCTCCAGCCACATCCAGTTTTTTCCCTGGAGCATCCACAGTTTTTGGGACAGCTCTCCTCTCCGTGGACGTTTCATGGCTGCCTTTCCCAGCCTCAGGAACGGGAGTTTTTTCCAGAGCAGCCGGCTCCGTGCTGGGCTGGGTGACACCGGGTGACACTGCAGGAACCTCCTCTGAGCTCGGGGACATTCCAGGGATGGCTCCTGGCGTTCCTCCGGCTGCTGGGATGGCCTTGCTGGATGATTCCAGAGGTTCCACAGCGGGAGCAGAGGGTTCCTCATCCTCTTTTTGGATTCCCAGCTCCGGCTCATCCCGGGCTTTGTCCGTCCCCGCTCCGGAAAGCGGCGCTGGTTTCTCCTCCGACCTTGCTCCGGGTGATTTGCTGCCAGCAGGATCCACGGGAATTCCAGGATCCAATCCCTCCACGTCCATCCCTGCGGGCGATTCCCTCGCTGCTCCTGCCTGCGACTCGGGAATCTCCACTTGTCCCGCTGGAATCTCCTCAGCAACATTTGGGGTGGGAATTTGGCCTTTCCTGGCCTCTCCCGATGGATTTCCAGCTGGTTTTTGCACCGTTCCTGATCCCTCTGGAATTTTTTTCAAGCCAGAGCTAAAAGCATTTAAAAGAAACAAAAATCAAACCGTGGAGGGAGAATTCCAGAAGACTCAGAAAGCTCCGGATGCCACTGATGGGAGTTTACCTGGAGCATGAGGAAATGGGATTGGGAATTCTGTGGGAAAAGGTGACAACTTGAGGTGAATAATTCACATTTTGGAGATCGCAGGCCTTGGAAAATTTCCATCCCACAGAGGGAAAATTGGGAATATCCAACCAAAAGGCAGCTCCTAGATAAGGGAATTAGAGGAGCTCCCAATCCTGAGAGCGCAGGTTTGGATTTGGGATTGGATTTGGGACCAGTTTTTGGTTTGGGTTCAAAATCCTTGTTTTCCATGGAGAACCCCCTGGGATAACACAGCCCAAGGTGCCACAGGATGGAGCTTTCCAGGGAATTCCAGAGACTCTTTCCTGAAGGAAAGAATCCCACAGGATGAGCTTGGCAAGTGCTGGAATTAGGGATGGCTGTGCCTGGAGCACCCATTCCAGCAGAATTCCAGCAGGGAATTTCTACTCCAAAACCTGGAAAAATCAGGATTGTCCAGGAGAATGGGATTTGGGATCCTCCAAAGGGATTTTCCCATCAATTCAACACTTCTGGCTGTGTTTAGTTTGTTTTCTACTGGGATTCATGGAAAACTCCCCTGTGGATTAATAGAAAATGTGGCCTGGGAAAGGCAGAGCCCAGAAGTTGAGATAAATTAATTAAAGCTTCAGATAAATAATTAATCATTAACAATTAAAACAATAATTCCAGTCTTTTCTGCTTCCTAAGAAATGGAATAAATTAACTGTGTGGAAAATGTGTGGAGCAGGGAAAATGTTGATTTTCCAATTTTTCAGGAGCTGGGATGCATGGAAAAGTAATTTTTAAATTTTAATTCTAAATTTAAATTTTCATTCCACCTGTCTGGAATCACAAAGTGGCTGTGAGGAAGAGTTTCCCATTAATTTGGGAATTAATGCTCCCAAAATTCAGCAGTTTCATGGAATGACAAGGAAAAAAAATCGGGATCTGGGAATACAGAGCTTTTCCGTGATGGAATTCCTTAAATTTGAGGATGATCCTTACACAATTTTGGGGTTTTAACAATAAAACTCATCCAGAAATCCAAGTTAGAATCACAGGAAAAAAGGGATCGAAGCCATATTTAACAAAAATTCTTAAAGATCTCTGGGAATTCAGCAGTTGGAAAGAGGAATTCCAGAGGCAGGGATAGAGAGAAGAGCTTAAGGATGGAATAAAAGGAGCCAAGACCTGAGCAGGAGAGAAAACCAAAGAAAATTCCCAACAAAAATTGGGATGTCACCCTGTTTTTCCGTGATTTTTAATGAATCACAAATATTGTGGCTCTGCAAAAATGGATTGGGAAGGAGGAGCAGCAGGACACAGCTGGAGGGAGGCCCAGCAATCCCTAATCGTGGATAAACATTCCAAGAGGGAAAAGAAATGGATAAAATTCCCAAAAATCCTTGCAGGCTGTACCTTCCTTTGCTCCCGTCTTCTCTCTTCACTTCCCTTTTAGCGGTTTCAGCCTGGAAAACAAAAATCCCAATTCCTGAGGGAAATCCCAGACCTGAGGGGAAAATCACGATCCTGAGGGAAAAATACCATCCACAAGGGAAAAAATCCCAAACCCTGAGGGAATGGATAAAATTCCCAAAAATCCTTGCAGGCTGTACCTTCCTTTGCTCCCGTCTTCTCTCTTCACTTCCCTTTTAGCGGTTTCAGCCTGGAAAACAAAAATCCCAATTCCTGAGAGGAATCCCAGCCCTGAGAAAAATATCCCAACCCCGAGGGAAAAATCAAGATCCTGAGGGACATCCTGTCCTTGAGGAAAAAAATCCCAAACTCTGATGGAAAAATCCCAGCCTTGAGGGAAAAATCCCAACCTTGAGGGAAAAATCCCAGCCTTGAGGGAAAAATCCCAACCTTGAGGGAAATTCCACCACTGAAGGAAATCCCAAATCCTGAGGGGAAAAATCCCAATCCTGAGAGGAAAAATCCCAAACTCTGAGCGGAGAAAATTCCAATCCCTGACAGAAATCCCAGACCTGAGGGGAAAAATCCCAAACTCTGAGGGAAAAAATCCAACCCTGAGGGAAAAATCCCAACCCTGAGGGAAAAATCCCAATCCTGATGAAAAAAATCCCAATCCTGATGAAATAAATCCCAATCCTGAGGGAAAATCCTAGCCCTGAGGGGAAAATTCCAAGCCGGAGGGAAAAAATTCCAACCCTGAGGGAAATCCCATCCTTGAGGGGAAAAATCACAAACTCTGAGGGAAAAAAATCCAACCCTGAGGGAAAAAATCCCAATGCTGAGGGAAAATTTCATCCTGAGGGAAAAAATTCCAACCCTGAGGGAAAAAATCCCAACGCTGAGGGAAAAAATTCCAAACCCTGAGGGTAAAATCCCAGACTTGATGAAAAAAATCACAACCCTGAGAGGAAAATCCAAATCCTGAGAGGGAAAATTCCAACCATGAGGGAAAATCCTGGCCCTGACGGGAAAATCCCTACCCTGAGAGAAAAAATCCCAACCCTGAGGGAAAAAATCCCAACCCTGACGGAAAATTCCATCCTGAGGGAAAAAATTCCAAACCCTGAGGGTGAAATCCCAGACCTGATGAAAAAAATCACAACCCCGAGAGGAAAATCCAAATCCTGAGGGGGAAAATTCCAACTATGAGGGAAAATCCCAACCCTGAGGGGAAAAAATCCCAAACCCTGAGGGAAAAATCCCAATCCTGAGGGAAAAAATCCCAACCTTGAGGGAAAAAATCCCAATCCTGAGGGGAAAAATCCCAATCCTGAGGGAAAATTCCAACCATGAAGGAAAATCCTGGACCTGACGGGAAAATCCAAACCCTGAGGGAAAAAATCCCAACCCTGAGGGAAAAGTCCCAACCTTGAGGGAAAAAATCTCAAACCCTGAGGGAAAAAATCCCAACCCTGACGGAAAATTCCATCCTGAGGGAAAAAATTCCAAACCCTGAGGGTGAAATCCCAGACCTGATGAAAAAAATCACAACCCCGAGAGGAAAAGCCAAATCCTGAGGGGGAAAATTCCAACTATGAGGGAAAATCCCAACCCTGAGGGGAAAAAATCCCAAACCCTGAGGGTAAAATCCCAATCCTGATGAAAAATATCACAACCCTGAGGGAAAAATCCCAATCCTGAGGGGGAAAATCCCAATCCTGAGGGAAATTTTTAACCATGAGGAAAAATTCTGGCCCTGAGGAGAAAATCCAAACCCTGAAGGAGAAAATCCCAACCCTCAGGGAAATCCCATCCTTGAGGGGAAAAATCCCAAACCCTGAGGGAAAAAATCCTAACCCTGAGCGAAAATTCCATCCTGAGGGAAAAAATTCCAAACCCTGAGGGTAAAATCCCAGACCTGATGAAAAAAATCACAACCCTGAGAAGAAAATCCTAATCCAGAGGGGAAAATTCCAACTATGAGGGAAAATCCTGGCCCTGAGGGGAAAATCCCAACCCTGAGAGGAAAAATCCCAAACCCTGAGGGAAAAAATTCCAAACCCTGAGGGTAAAACCCCAGACCTGATGAAAAAAATCACAACCCTGAGAAGAAAATCCTAATCCAGAGGGGAAAATTCCAACTATGAGGGAAAATCCTGGCCCTGAGGGGAAAATCCCAACCCTGAGAGGAAAAATCCCAAACCCTGAGGGAAAAATCCCAATCCTGAGGGAAAATTCCAACCATGAGGGAAAATCCTGGCCCTGAGGGGAAAATCCCAACCCTGAGGGAAAAAATCCCAACCCTGAGGGAAATCCCATCCTTGAGGGGAAAAATCCCAAACTCTGAGGGAAAAAATCCAACCCTGAGGGAAAAATTCCAACCCTGAGGGTAAAATCCCAATCCCGATGAAAAATATTACAACCCTGAGGGAAAAATCCCAATACTGAGGGGGAAAATCCCAATCCTGAGGGAAAATTCCAACCACGAGGGAAAATTCTGGCCCTGAGGAGAAAATCCAAACCCTGAGGGAGAAAATCCCAACCCTGAGGGAGAAAATCCCAAACCCTGAAGGAAATCCCATCCCGCAGCTCTTTGCAGGAAGGTTCTCTCATCCCCAAGAAAAACCCGGCTGGTGGAAAACCCGGAATTTTTACCTCAGGAATGTCTCCGTGGGAGGACAAGGAGCAGGTGAGTGTGTGTTCTCCTATGGAATAAGGATACTGCTGCAGGAAGCTGTGCATGGAGCGTGCGGATTTGGGGCTGTCCAGCTGCAGGATGGCCTGAGGGAAAAAATTCCCGGTAATTCCTTAATTTATGGATAAAATGGGAATTCTTAAACCTGCTGGAATCCCTCGTTTGTTTCCTGCCACTTTCCAGGTATAAAAAGGATTAAAAGTCACCTTAAAATGTCCAAATTTGGGTCCTAAATGTGGAACTAACTTGGGTTTTTTGGGATTTAAAGTAAGTTTTTCTTGGATTTGGGGATTTTCAAAACATTTTCCAGGTTTTTGGGGTATTCTCCTTGGGTTTTTTGAGATTTAAAAAGTATTTCCTTGGATTTTTGGGATTTTCCTGGTTTTTCTTGAGATTTAAAAAATACTACCTTGGATTTTTAGGATTTAAAAAACATTTCCAATGGATTTTGTGATTTAAAGGGAATTATCCATGGGTTTTTTGGGATTTAAAAGATATTTTCCTTGGTTTTAAAGAACATTTCTATGGGGGGCATTGATTACTTTTTTTGGATTTTAAAAACCCCAAAAACCCCTCTGCCAAAAAACCCCCAAACCAAAAACCCCAAAACCCAAAACTCCAAACCAAAAAACCCCAAACCAAAAAACCCAAACCCCCAAACTTGCCGAAATCCCCCCGTTCATTTGCCATACCCGGTGGCGGTTGCTGAGCACAGCGTAGTGCTCCACCTTGCCAAACCTCAACCCCACACACACCAGCTCCAGCTCTGAAACCCCTCTGCCAAAAATCCCCAAAACCAAAAACCCCAGAACTTGCTGAAACCCCCCCGTTTGTTGCTGTACCCGGTGGCGGTTGCTGAGCGTAAGGCTCCACCTTGCCAAACCTCAGCCCAGCACACACCAGCTCCAGCTCTGAAACCCCTCTGCCAAAAATCCCCAAAACCAAAAACCCAAAACAAAAAACCCCAAAACCAAAAACCCCAAGACCAAAAACCCAAAACAAAAAACCCCAAAACTTCCTAAAACCCCCCCGTTCATTTCGCCGTACCCGGTGGCGGTTGCTGAGCACGGCGTAGTGCTCCACCTTGCCAAACCTCAGCCCCACACACACCAGCTTTAATTCCTGAAACCCCTCTGCCCAAAAACCCCAAAACCAAAAACCCCAAAACCAAAAACCCCAAAACCAAAACCCCAAAACCAAAAACCCAAAACCAAAAACCCCAAAACCTGCCCAAACCCCCCGTTTGTCGCCGTACCCGGTGGCGGTTGCTGAGCACGGCGTAGTGCTCCACCTTGCCGAACCTCAACCCCGCACACACCAGCTCCAACTCTGAAACCCCTCTGCCCAAAATCCCCAAAACCAAAAACCCCAAACCCAAAAATCCCCAAACCAAAAACCCCAGAACTTGCTGAAACCCCCCCGTTTGTCGCCGTACCCGGTGGCGGTTGCTGAGCACGGCGTAGTGCTCCACCTTGCCGAACCTCAGCCCCACACACACCAGCTCCAGCTCGCGGAAGCCCTCGGCAGGGAGGTTCCCCAGGTGCACCAGGTGAGAGCGGAGAGAGGCGGCGTCCGCCTGCGGGGACAGCCGGGAGGGGTTAGTGGGGAAGGGGAGGGGGAAAAAGGGGGAAAAAGGGGGAAAAGGAGAAAACAGAACAAAGGGGGGCAAAGGGGGAAAAGGAGGGAACAAAATGAAGGGGAAAGGAGGAAAAGGGAAGGGGAAAAGGGGAAAGAAGAGAAAAAGGAAGGGGGAAAAAAGGGGAAAAAAGGGGGAAAAGAGGGAAAAAGGGGTAAAAAGGGGGAAAAGGGAAAAAGGAAGGAGAAAAAAAGGGGGAAGGGAAAAGAGGGGAAAAGGAGAAAATGGAATGAAGGGGGACAAAGAGGGAACAAAATGAAGGGGGAAGGGGGAAAAGGGAAGGGGGAGAAGGGGAAAGAAGGGAAAATGGAAGAAGAAAAAGGGGGAAAAGGGGGGAATGGAACAAAGGGGGGAAAGGGGAAAAAAGGGAATGGAAAAAATGGGGAAAGAATAGGGAAAGGGGGAAAAAGTGAAAAAATGGAGAAAAGGAAGGGGAAAAGGGTGGGGGAAACAAGAGAAAAAGGGGGGAAGGTAGAGGGGGAAGGGGGGAAAGAAAGGAGAAAAAGAAGGGAAAAAAGGGACAAATGGGAAAGAAGAGAAAGAAGGAAGGAGGAAAAGGAGAAAAAAAAGGGGGGAAAAGGAAATTAGGGGGAAAAGGAAGGGAAAAAAGGAGGGGGGGAAGGGGAAGGAAAAAAACCTTCTCTCTATCCATAAAAGAATGGAATTTGGAGCTGGAATTGAGATAAATTCCCCATTCCCATTTTGATCTTTCCCACACTTTTTTAGGGAGAAAACCTCTGAGGCACCTGAGGAGAATCTTGGAATTAATCCTGGAATTCTGAAAGGATCAAAGGGCCTGGGGCATCCCCAAAGTCCCAAAAAATCCCCCAAAAAATCCCAAAAAATGGGGTTTATCCCAACCTGAAATGCTCAGGAATGAGCATTCCCAGCTCCCAGTTAATGAAATTCCAAAGAAAATTGGGATAATGAGGAAAAAAAATGGGACAATGAGGAGAAAAAGTTGGGATAAGGAGGAAAAACTCACCTTGGGATCGGCCTCCTTGATGAGAGCAAGGAAAATCGCTTCCTTTAGGGAGGGAAAAAGGGATGGAGCTTCATTAATAATAATTAATAACTAATTAATTGATTGTAGTTAAAGTGTTCATGTCAAAATCCAAAAATTCCCAGTGGGAAAAGCATTGAAGTTTTAAACAGCAGGAAGTGCTAAAAATTCTGTTTAAATTCTGTTGAACCCATCCCATCCCAATCCCGACCCCACAGATCCTGCTCCCATCCCAATCCTGACCCTGTTCCCACTGCTCCCGTCCCAAAGGGAATCCCCATCCCAAAGCTCCTGTTCCCACCCAGAGGGAATCCCAATCCCGATCCACCAGCTCTCGTTCCCATCCCAAAGGGAATCCCCATCTCCATCCCAATCCCAAAGCTCCTGCTCCCATCCCAGTCCCAATCCCGATCCCACTGCTCCCATCCCAAAGGGAATCCCCGTCTCCATCCCGATCCCACTGCTCCCATCCCAGTCCCAATCCCGATCCCACTGCTCCCATCCCAAAGGGAATCCCCGTCTCCATCCCCATCCCACAGCTCGCTGTTCCTGCTGTTCCCATCCCAAAGGGAATTCCAATCCCAGAACTCCTGTTCCTATCCCAAAAGGAATTTCAGTCCCAATCCCAAGCCCAGAGCTCGCTGTTCCCATCCCAAAAGGGATCCCAATCCCAATCCCAATCCTGATCCCAATCCCAGTTTGCTGTTGCCATGCCAAAGCAAAGTTCACTCTTGATCCCACAGCTCCCATTCCCACCCCAAAGGGAATTCCAATCCCGATCCCAGAGCTCCCGTTCCCATCCCAAAGGGAATTCCAATCCCAATCCCGTCCCCATCTCCATCCCAATCCCAAAGCTCCTGCTCCCATCCCAGTCCCAATCCCGATCCCACTGCTCCCATCCCAAAGGGAATCCCAATCCTAAACCCAATCCCAAAGCTCCTGTTCCTGTCCCAAAGGGAATTCCCATCTCCATCCCCATCCCACAGCTCGCTGTTCCTGCTGTTCCCATCCCAAAGGGAATTCCAATCCCAGAACTCCTGTTCCTATCCCAAAAGGAATTTCAGTCCCAATCCCAAGCCCAGAGCTCCCATTCCCATCCCAAAGGGAATCCCAATAACAGAGCTCGCTGTTCCCATCCCAAAAGGGATCCCAATCCCAATCCCAGAGCTCCCATTCCCATCCCAAAGGGAATTCCAATCCCAGAACTCCTGTTCCTATCCCAAAAGGAATTTCAGTCCCAATCCCAAGCCCAGAGCTCCCATTCCCATCCCAAAGGGAATCCCAATAACAGAGCTCGCTGTTCCCATCCCAAAAGGGATCCCAATCCCAATCCCAATCCTGATCCCAATCCCAGTTTGCTGTTGCCATGCCAAAGCAAAGTTCACTCTTGATCCCACAGCTCCCATTCCCACCCCAAAGGGAATTCCAATCCCAATCCCAGAGCTCCCGTTCCCATCCCAAAAGGAATTTCAGTCCTAATCCCAATCCCAGAGCTCCCGTTCCCATTCCAAAGGGAATCCCAATCCCAATCCCGATCCCACAGCTCCCATTCCCACCCCAAAGGGAATTCCAATCCCAATCCCGATCCCAGAGCTCCCATCCCCATCCCAAAGGGAATTCCAGTCCCAGAGTTGCTGTTCCCATCCCAAAGGGAATCCCAATCCCAAAAATCCCAATCCCAGAGCTCCTGTTCCCATCCCAAAGGGAATTTTGATCCCGATCCCAGAGCTCACCATCCCCATCCCAAAGGGAATTTATGGGGTTTGGGATTGGGGAAGTTTCCCGTGGGAATTGTGGGGTGGGATGGGATGGAGCCAAAGGGGGTTGGAGGTTGGGATTGCTGGGAATCACTGGGAAAACAGGGCAGCTCCCAGTGTTCCCACAAACCTCACAATTCCCAAGTCCCCAAAATCCCAAATCCCCCAATCCCAAATCCCCCAATCCCAAATCCCAAATCCCAAATCCCAAATCCCAAACCCCACTGACCTCCCCGCCGGGGTCCGTGCCTTCCTCGCTCACCGCAGCCTCTGGAAATGAGGAGAAGGAGCAGCTCAACCCCACAGAATTCCCAAATCCCCTGGACTTCAGCAATTCCCAAATTTCCCTTTATCCCTTTTTCCCCAAGGATTTTTCCCCCAAAATCCCCCAGCCCTGCAGAATTCCATGAATTCCCTGGAATTACCTGGCCCCGCCTCCAGGGCTGTCCCGGCCTCCTGGGGCCCGTCCTGCTCCGGGGAGGGTTCGGGATCGGGATCCTTGGGATGGGGATGATTGGGATTTTTGGGATTGGGGTTTTTGGGGTCGGAGGGCTCCAAGCCCGGGATTCCCAGCCCGGCCTCGGCCGGAACCCCGGAATCCTCCAGCGCTGTTTTTCCTGAGGGGACAAAGCAGCACCTGGAGATGAGCACAGGCCTCGTTCCCTTCCAAAATCCAATTTTTCCCCACATTTTTCCAACTTTTTTTCCCATTATTTTCTCATTTTCCAGAGATTTTTTTCCCATTTTCTCTTCTTTTTTCCAAGTTTTCACCCCCGTGGTTTTTCTTCTCATTTTCCCGAGGGGTTTTTTCCTCTTTACCCGAGGTTTCTTCCCATTTTCTCACTTTTTTATCCATTTTTTTCTCATTTTCCCAAGGTTTTTCCCCATTTTCCCAAGGTTTTTTTTTCCCATTTTCCCAAGGGTTTTTTTTCCCATTTTCACAAGTTTTTTTAAAATTTCCCATTTTCTCACTTTTTTATCCATTTTTTTCTCATTTTTCCCCATTTTCCCAAGGTTTTTTTCTCCATTTTCCCAAGGTTTTTTAAAATTTTTTTTCTCATTTTCCCAAGGTTTCTTTCCCATTTTCCCAAGTTTTTTTTTTCCCATTTTCCCAAGGTTTCTTTCCCATTTTCCCAAGTTTTTTTTTTCCCATTTTCCCAAGGTTTCTTTCCCATTTTCCCAAGGTTTTTTTTTCCATTTATCCGAGGTTTTTTCCTGTTTCCCCAGGGTTTTGTGCAATTTTTTTCCCATTTTCCCAATGTTTCCATTTTCCCCATTTTTTTCCCCATTTCCCCCCATTTTTCCCCCAAGATTTTTTCCCCATTTCTTCAATTTTTCCCCATTTTTTCCCCATTTCCCCAGAGCTTTCTTCCCATTTTCCCAAAGGTTTTTTTCCCCATTTTCCCAAGGTTTTCCCCAATTTCTCCAATGCTTTTTTCCCCATTTTTTCCCCATTTTCTAAAATTTTCTTCCATTTTATTTTCCAATTTTCCCCCCTATTTTCCCATTTTTTTCCTCATTTTTGAAGCATTTTTTCCATTTTCTTCTCCCATTTTCCCAAATTTCTTCCCTTTTTCCCCATTTCCCCACATTTTTCCCCCAAGATTTCTTTTCCCATTCCTTCAATTTTTCCCCATTTTCCCAGAGCTTTCTTCCCATTTTCCCAAAGGTTTTTTTCCCCATTTTCCCAAGGTTTTCCCCAATTTCTCCAATGCTTTTTTCCCCATTTTTTCCCCATTTTCTAAAATTTTCTTCCATTTTATTTTCCAATTTTCCCCCCTATTTTCCCAATTTTTTCCTCATTTTTGAAGCATTTTTTCCATTTTCTTCTCCTATTTTCCCAAATGTCACTTTCTCATTTTCCCAATTTTTTTCCCCATTTCCAGACCTTTTTTCCCATTTTCCCAAGGTTTTTTCCTGCTATTTTCTCTTCTCATTTCCCCAAAATTTTTTCCAATTTTCCCAAGTTTTTTTCCCATTTTCCCAAGGTACTTTTCCCCATTTTTTCCCATTTTCCAAGGCATTTTCCCCCATTTTTCCCCCCAAGATTTTTTCCCATTTTCCCCATTTTTTTCCCCATTTTTCCCCCTCACCTTCCCCCTCTGGGGCTTTCTTCACTTTCTTCTCTCCCAACGTTTTCTTCACTTTTTCCTTTTTCCCTACAAAAAAATCCCGGAATTCCCAATTCCCATCAGCGATTCCTTCCCAAGGAACAAAATTCCAAAAAATCCAAACAATTCTGAAGATAAGAGCAAAAAAAAGGGGGAAAATCTGGATTTTTTAGGGTAAAAATCCCAAAATTCCAATGAAACCCAGGGCCATTTATGGAAAAAAGAGGGGGATTTTAAGGGGAAAAAAAATTGGATTTTTTGGGGTAAAAGAAACCCAAAATTTAAATTAATTCTGTGGGATTTCCGAGGCAAAAAATCCCAAAATTTGAATTAAATCCAGGGAAATTTTAGGGGCAAAAAAGGGGAATATTTTAGGTGAAAAATGTGGATTTTAGAAGGATTTGGAGGGAAAAAAATTAATTTTTGTGAGAAAAATGAGGGATTTTTTGGAAAAAAAAATTGGGGATTCTGGGGGAGAAATTCAGATTTATTTTTTTTAGGGTAAATAACCCCAAAATTGAAATTAACCCCAAAGCCCAGCTCAGGAGTGGATGAAAATCAATGATTGAGAAGCCAAGAATTTCCTATTCAAACCCAATAAAATTAAAAATAATTGATTATTAATTAACTGCCTAATTAATATTTAATTAATAATTAAATGAGCTCAGAAATAAAAGAAAACCAATGACTTGGCACCCATAATTTTTATTAAAAGCCAAAGAAATTAAAATTAATGAAAGCAATTAAATTATTGATTAGGCTGCTCGACTGAGAACTAATTACTAATTATTATTAATTAGTTAATGAAGATCAACCTCACCTGTCAGGACTTTGGGGCTCTTGGTGTTGGTGCTGGGAACTTTCCTGGGAGGGTAAAAAAGACACCAAAAATCAATTTAATCACTAATTATTAATTATTACCCCAAATTACAGCCCAAGGCTTGAGCCCCTCGGGTGCCCAATTATGGTAATTAACATGAATTCATTAATGAGGGTCTTACTTGGTGGTTGTTGGCGTTTTTTTGGGGTTCAGGACTTTTTTTTTCACCGTTTTTTTCGCCTGAAAGGGAAAAAAATTGGGATTAATTAATAATTGATAATTAAACAGAACTATTAATTCTAATTAATTAGTGCTAATTAAGCCATTATAAAATATTAATTTCATTAATTAATTAAATTATTTTATTAATTAATTAAATTTTAATTAATTAATTATAAATTTTATTAATTAATTAAAATTATTAATGAATTTTTCATTTAGATTTTATTAACAAACGTATTATTATATTAAGAAATACCTGAAACTGGATTAATAATAACTGTTCATAATTAAGTGTGTTCATTAATTTTAAATTAATTTATTTTATTTAATTTATTATTTAAATTAATTTATTATTTATTATTTATTATTAATAATAAAGTGTGAGTATCCATAAAAAGTAAGGTTAATAATCATTAATATTTCAGTGGAATAATTAATGAACAGCTCTGCTGCAATTCCCACTCCCAGCCTCATTCCTGGATGAATTCCCGGCTGGAATTCCTGGATTTCGGGTCAGAATTCCCAAATCCTGGCTGGAATTCCCAGATCCTGGCTGGAATTCCCAAATCCTGGCTGGAATTCCCAGATCCCGGCTGGAATTCCCAGATCCCGGCTGGAATTCCCAGATCCCGGCTGGAATTCCCAGATCCCGGCTGGAATTCCCAGATCCCGGCTGGAATTCCCAGATCCCGGCTGGAATTCCCTCTCCCAGCTTGGAATTTGTGGATTCCAGGATGGAATTCCTGCTCCTGGCTGAAATTCCTGGCTGGAATTTCCTGCTCCCAGGTGGAATTCCCAAATCCTGGGCTGGAATTCCCATCGGGAATTCCTGCTCCCAGGTGGAATTCCTGGCTGAAATTCCTGCTCCTGGCTGGAATTCCCAGATCCTGGGCTGGAATTCCCACTCCCTGCTCGAATTCCCGGCTGGAATTCCCAGATTCCAGGACAGAATTCCTGGTTGGCATTCCCAGCTGGAATTCTCTCTCCTGGCTAGAATTCCCAATTGGAATTCCTGACTGGAATTCCCAACTGGAATTGCTACTCCCAGTTGGAATTCCCAGATCCCAGGATGGAATTCCCAGATCCCAGCTGGAATTCCCAGATCCCAGGATGGAATTCCCAGATCCCAGGATGGAATTCCCAGCTGGAATTCCAGCTCCCACCCTCATTCCATGGATGCCATTCCCAGTTGGAATTCCCAGATCCCAGGATGGAATTCCCCGCTGGCATTGCTGCTCCCGGTTGGAATTCCTGACTGGAATTCCCAGTTGGCATTTGCAGTCGGAATTCCTGGTTGGAATTCCCTCTCCTGCTCAGAATTCCCAGCTGGAATTTCCTCTCCCAGCTGCAATTCCCACCTGGAATGGGCACTCCCGGTCAGAATTCCCGGTTGGAATTCCTGATTGGAATTCCCAGTGGGAATTGCTATCCCCACCCTCATTTTCCAGATGCCATTCCCAGCCAATATTCCCACTCCTGGCTGGAATTCCCTCTCCTGGATGGAATTCCCCAATCCTGGGCTGGAATTCCCACTGCTGCTCAGAATTCCCGGCTGGAATCCCTGCTCCCAGGCATCCCAGTTGGAATTCCCAGATCCCAGGATGGAATTCCCAGCTGGAATTCCAGCTCCCACCCTCATTCCATGGATGCCATTCCCAGTTGGAATTCCCAGATCCCAGGATGGAATTCCCCGCTGGCATTGCTGCTCCCGGTTGGAATTCCTGACTGGAATTCCCAGTTGGCATTTGCAGTCGGAATTCCCGGTTGGAATTCCCTCTCCTGGTCAGAATTCCCGGTTGGAATTCCTGATTGGAATTCCCAGTGGGAATTGCCACCCCCACCCACATTTTCCAGGTGCCATTCCCAGCCAGTATTCCCGCTCCCAGCTGGAATTCCCTCTCCTGGTCAGAACTGCTCCTCCTGGTCAGAATTCCCAGCTGGAATCCTGGCTGGAATTTCCTCTCCCAGCTGGAATTCCCTCTCCTGGCCAGAATTCCCAGTGGGAATTGCTGCTCCCACCCTCATTTTCCAGGTGCCATTCCCGGCCAACATTCCTCCTCCTGGCTGGAATTCCCACTCCTGGTCAGAATCCTGGCTGGATTCCCTGCTCCTGGCCCGCAATTCCTGGCTGGAATTCCCAGATTCTGGCTGGAATTGCCACTCCCAAGCGGAATTCCTGGTCAGAATTCCCACATTCCGGCTGGAATCCCCGCTCCCGGCCGGAATTCCTGGCTGGAATTCCTGGCTGGAATCCTCGCTCCTGGCCGGAATTCCCGGCTGGAATTCCCGCTCCTGGCCGGAATTCCTGGCCGCGGTTGGAATTCCCGGCCGGAATTCCTGATCAGAATTCCCGCTCCCGGCCGGCATTCCCGGCCGCAATTCCCGGCCGGCATTCCCGCTCCCGGCCGGCATTCCTGGCCGGAATTCCTGTTCCTGGCTGGAATCCTCGCTCCTGGCCGGAATTCCCGGCTGGAATTCCCGCTCCTGGCCGGAATTCCTGGCCGGAATTCCCAGATTCCAGCTGGAATCCCTGCTCCCAGCTGGAATTCCTGGCTGGAATTCCCAGATTCCGGCCGGATTCCCTGCTCCCGGCTGGAATTCCTGGCTGGAATTCCCAGATTCTGGCTGGAATTCCTGGCTGGATTCCCCGCTCCCAGCCGCAATTCCCGGCTGGAATTCCTGGTCAGAATTCCCGCTCCCGGCCGCAATTCCCGGCCGGAATTCCCGGCTGCATTCCCCGCTCCCGGCCGGCATTCCCGGCTGGAATTCCCGATCAGAATTCCCGCTCCCGGCCGCAGTTCCCACCGGCGCTCTCTCGGCCACGCTGATCCGGACGCGTTTCCCGTTGAGCAGCACCGGCGCCGTCTCCCCGAACTTGACGGCGGCGATGACGGCCTCCTTGTAGTTCATCTCCAGGTAGGCCTGGAACACAGGGAATGGCCCAGCTCCCGGAACTGCCGGAATTCCGGGGCGGGGGGGGAAATCCCGGCGGGATTGGGAATTGCAGGGAGGGATCAAAGAGTGCAGGGAAAGGGAAGGAGGGAAAGGGAGAAAAAATGGGAAAAAAGGAAAAAAAGGGAGAGTAAAGGGAAAAAAGGAGGGGGAAGGGGAAAGGAGAATGAAGGGGAGGGAAGGAAGGACGGGAGGAAGGAAGGAAGGAAGGAAGGAAGGAAGGAGAGTAAAGGGAAAAAAGGAGGGGGAAGGGGAAAGGAGAATGAAGGGGAGGGAAGGAAGGACGGAAGGAAGGAAGGAAGGAAGGAAGGAAGGAAGG